AAACGAGAAAACTTAAAAAATGAAAACCGATTTCAGTTCCCCTCTTAAAAAAAACAGTACTCTGGAGGGGCCTTTACCCTACAAAAAACCCTTTTTAAACCAAAAATTTTCTAAAAATAACTTTCAAAATTGTACATCCCTCCTTTGGGGGGGTTTTTTTATTTTTATCCTCCCCCCTTTTTTTAAATTTTTCTTATTACAAATTTTTTTGTACCCTCATAAACTTCCCTTTCATTTTCCAACTTTCCCAAATTTTCCCAAATTCTCCCTCCATAAAATTTGTAATTTCTTTAAATCCCCAAACCCCCATTTTCTCACAAAAAAATTTTTCCAAAAAACCCCCTTTTAATTTTTTCCCCAAATTTTCCCCAAAACCCCTCTTTTTCCCAAAACCCCCTTTTCTTTTTTTAACAACCCCCTTAAAAAAAAAACCCCTTGGGGGCCCAACCCAAAACTTTATTTTTTCCCCATGTTTCCGAATTTTAAAAAAAATTTTTTATTTTTTCCCCCTTTTTGTTTTCCTTAAATTTTTTCTTTTTTAAATTAAAAAAAATCAATTTTGGGAAAATGGGCCTTTTTCCCATTTTATTTCCCAATTTTGAAACCTTTTCCACCCCCTTTTTGGCCTTTTTTCCCCCCAAACCAGGCATTTTCCAGTTTTCTTTAAATTTTATCATTCAAACATTTTTTTTAATCAATTTTCACTACAAAAAAAGGACAAAGTTTAATTTGGCCCAAATTTTCCTTCAAAATTCCTTTTTTTTAAAAAATTTTTAAAAAGGAAAATTGGGGTTACTAACATTTTTCCCGGCATTTTAGTTGACTTTTACAAACACGCATGGTTACGGAGGAAAGATTCTTATTCCACTTCCCCATGGATATAAAAGGAAAAGTAATAAGACCAAGAACTATTAAGATAAAACCCAAAGAAAACTCAGATGAGTGTGTATAAATAAACATGTACATGAATGTGTAGTGTGGCCTAAGTGTAAGTAGAAGTAGCAAGCCCTGCCTGTAATGTTGCATATTTATGAGACAGACAAAAGACACCAGCAATCCTACATCATGTAAAACAATTTACAGGCTTTCGTTTTACACTCACTTGGCAGGACGGTAGTACCTCCTGGGTGGTTGTGTCTATCAAACCTATATAATAAAATATAATCTATAATATAATATACATATTAATATATATACATAATATACATATTAATATATATATATATATATATATATTATATTTTATATATATATATATATAGAGGGAGAGAGAGAGAGAGAGAGAGGAGGAGAGAAGGAGAGAGAGAGAGAGGAGAGCGAGAGAGGAGAGAAGAGAGGAGAGAGAGGGGAGAGAGAGAGGAGAGAGTGAGGAGAGAGAGGAGAGAGAGAGAGAGGGGGAGAGAGAGGGGAGAGAGAGAAAAAGAGAGAGAGAGAGAGAGAGACAGGGGAGACAGAGAAGAGCAGAAGAAGAGGAGAGACAGAGAGAGAAGAAGGGGAGAGGACAAAAGAACAGAGGACAGACAGAGAAAAGACAGGACAGAAGAGACAGAGGGGAAAAGGGCAGAGAGAGAGAGAGAGAGAGAGAGACAGAGGGAAAAGAAAAGGACAGAGACAGAGGACAGAGAGAAGAGAGAGAGAGAAAAGAGAGAGAAAAGGGGAGAAAAGAAAAAGAGAGGAGAGAGAGAGAAGAAGGAGAGAGAAGAGACAGAGAGCAGAGAGAAGAGAGAGAGAGACAGAGGAGAGAGAGACAGAGAAAAGACAGAGAAAGAGAGACCAGAGGGGAGAAGAGACAGAGAGAAAAGAGAGGACAAAAGAGAGAAGAGAGAGAGAGGAGACAGAGACAGAGAGAGACAGAGAGAGAAAGAGAGAGAAGACCAGAGAGAGAGAGAGAGACAGAGAGAGACAGAGAGAGGAGACGAGAAAAGAAGAAAAGAGACAGAGAAGAGACAGAGAGCGAGAGACAGAGAGAGAGAGACAGAGAGAGAGGGACAGAGAGAGAGAGACAGAGAGAGACAGAGAAGAGACAGACAGAGACAGAGACAGACAGAGGAGAGAGACAGAGAGACAGAGAGAGAGAGAGAGAGAGAGAGAGGAGAGAGAGAGAGAGAGAAGAGAGAGAGAGGAGAGAGAGAGAGGAATATATATATATATATATTATATATATATATTATATATATATATATTATATATATTTTATAAATATATATATATATATATAGGGTGAATTTTTAAAAAAAATTAAAAACATTATGCTTGAAAATCCTTGGGAATTTATAGGGTATACAGGGACAGGTTGTTTAAGAGGTGAAAAATAGGAAATTGGGGATACAGCTGGGAGTTAAAAACAAAGATGAGTCACAGGGATATAAGGAAGCTTTCTTCAGTCTCATGGTCATGGAAAGTGGAACAGTCTTGGTAAAAAACTAGTGAAGGCAGACTCCAAACATAGCTTTAGGAGCAGGTATGATAGGGCTCAAGAGGCTAGGAGGGAGTGAATTTGTCAAGCAGTAAGTAGCGAGACAAAGCCAGGAGTGAAAACTCGACACATAAATGAGCACATACGGAAGGAATGAAATTTATCTTCGCATACATAACAATGAAAATTTCAGGTACAGGTCAGATCACAGCTAAAATTACACACACAAAAAAAAAAACACAAAGAAAGATTCACTGAAGAGACTAGTAAACCCTTAAACTTTCCAAACATTGATCAACATTTTTTCAACATTTGAAAGTATGTAAAAAAAAACGTAGATCTTTTTTTTTTTTTTTTACATTTGAAAAAGTGTAAAAAAAACTTTGATCTACTTTTTTTTTGTTATACAGTGGACCCCCGCTTAATGATCACCTCCCAATGCAACCAATTATGTAAGTGTATTTATGTAAGTGCGTTTGTACGTGTATGTTTGGGGGTCTGAAATGGACTAATCTACTTCACAATATTCCTTATGGGAACAAATTCGGTCAGTACTGGCACCTGAACATACTTCTGGAATGAAAAAATATCGTTAACCGGGGGTACACTGTATTTGAAAATATGTAAAAATACGTAGATCTACTTTTGGAGCACTACGCATGTGAACGTAAATTTGTTTGAACAGTTTAAGGGTTAAAGAAGAAGGGTGCAGTTTGACACAAAGAAATGCAGGTGTTAAATTTAAGAGCCCTCCAATATAAGTGCTGTAATTTTTGTATACAAGAGGAGGCTTGCTGCTTATTAGACAATGGAGATAAGGACAATCATTCTGAGAAAACATCACTATATTATATTTAATGACAGACTTTTCTAACAAGAAATAAAGAAACACACTAAATATTTTTATCTTTAACCGTTACATTAACTGTCCAAGCGCAGACCTACGTTCTTACCGTTAGTGCTCCAAACGTAGATCTACGTTTTATTTTTCCTGCCTCCAAATTTGGCACAACTGGCCTGAGATGCCTGATCAGCATAGAATGGGTCTTAACACTCAGTGTGTGCCATATTAAAAAAATCTGGGACCACTTAGTACTTTGTGGGATCACCAGTTCAGCTGAGCACTAACTAGAGCAAACAGCACAGCAAACACCAAGGATTCACTGATGCCATGTCGTATTAACACTCCCCGTTTAAGAGGAAAGTGATGTTGACCTATGAGGCCTGGTCTCAAACTGGGCCATGGAGGCATTGACCCCTAAAACCCTCTCCAGGTAAACTCCAGACCCTGAGTTTAGTGGCTTTAAGGTGGACGTGGTCACAAGTGTTCGCGGAAATATCAAAAACCTTGATAATAACCCGTGTGCATCATTTGTGCAACACCCTTTCAATTTTGGTACCAATGGTAGCGTCATCCTGCCAGAATGTCCTATAACCTATGCCCTAAGTAAAAAGGAATAAGTCTGGAATGTGTAATACGTGTTTGGCAGGCTGGCTGGCCTGCTGGCTGGCTGTCTCTATCTTCGTCTGTCTGTCTATCTTTGCCTGTCTATCTGTCTCTATCTCACAGGTACACATATGTAAATACAATTATACATAGTGTAAATTACCTAGGATAACCCAAAAAAATCCAAAGTACTATACTGTGCTTGTAGATAATATAATGCATAATAAGCATGACTGGCAACTGGCAAGGAATACGCATTTTCACTTCTTCAGGAATCAGACGTGATCATGTGTAATACCAGTTGGTTCTTAAGCAACTCTCTCAGACAAGACAGACAAGCAGACAAAAAGACACACACACACACACACACATGCAGACAGAAAGACACACACACACACACAGGCAGACAAAAAGACAGAGACATACAGGTAGATGGGAAGACAGATAAGCAGACATTGCTAGACAGACAGAAAGACATGTTTATGTATAACAGTGAAAATAAATAAAGCCAGGGTTCCATGCAGCAGTGCACGATCATGAAGTGTCGCTCCACTGCTTACCCTGTCAGCAGTTTAGTAACACTTCGTCTTAACACCATGTGTCAAGGACTTTCATATATACTCCAGTGTGTCTAAAACATTGCTGGGACCTATAAATACGTACTTTGTATATATTCCTAGACAATAGTAAATGACCAAGGTAGGTGTAAATGCTGACAATTTGAGTACAATTTCAGAACCTAATATTAGTGTCAGAACAAAGACTGGCTATGAAATCACAAGAACTACTATAAATTGTAATTATGAGAACATAAAAATGATATAAAACGATATAAAACCGAGAAAAAAAGGTATATCAGCAACACTTCTGCAAGCGGCAGGACTCCACGTTGCTGTCAGGTGAGCATCCAACGCCAACTTCGCGGTCTTATATCTCAGTAACTACCAGTCCTAAAAATTTTTTTTGGGTCTTGTTACACACAGAAAATTGCTCTCTTAATTACAATTTTTTTTTTTTTTCAAAATATTCGGAGAGCTGGGTGAGCGAACGTAGATCTATGTTTGGACAGTTAACGGGTTAAAATTTATTGCATCAACTTTTAGTATGTACCCTATACTTATTTTGACAAGAGATGCTCACCTTTTCCTTAACTTTACCACAGTCTACAACATATTTGACACTAGGTATGGTGAGCGAGGTTTCAGCTACGTTGGTTGACACAACACAGAGTCGTGTTCCTTCTGGTGGGGGCTTGAAGACCTGTTGTAAGTTAATGAGTATTAATTTTTGATATATTAGTAATTTTCCAAGCAAAGATGACCCAAATAAAACATTCCTCCTCTCATGTCAATCTAACACCTAACATCTATACCCTTTTGTTATTTTTTTTTTATTAACACATTGGCCAATTCCCACCAAAGCAGGGTGGCCCGAAAAAGAAAAATTTTCATCATCATTCACTCCATCACTGCCTTGCCAAAGGGGTGCTTTATGCTACAGTTATAAAGCTGCAATATTAACACCCCTCCTTCAGAGTGTAGACACTGTACGTACTTCCCATCTCCAGGACTCTAGTCCGGCCTGCCGGTTCCCTGAATCCCTTCAAAGATATTACTTTGCTCACACTCCAACAACATGCCAAGTATTAAAAACCATTTGTCTCCATTCACTCCTATCAAATACGCTCATGCACACTTGCTGGAAATTCAAGCCTCTGGCACACAAAACCTCTTTACCCCCTCCCTCCAACCCTTCCTAGGCCGACCCCTACCCCACCTTCCCTCCACTACAGATTTATACACTCTCGAAGTCATTCTGTTTTGTTCCATTCTCTCAACATGTTCGAACCACCTCAACAACCCCTCCCCAGCCCTCTGGATAATAGTTTTGGTAATCTCACACCTTGTCCTAATTTCCAAACTATGAATTCTCTGAATTATATTCACACCACATATTGCCCTCAGACATGACATCTCCACTGCCTCCAGCCTTCTTCTCGTTGCAACATTCATCACCCATGCTTCACACCCATACAAGAGTGTTGGTACAACTATACTCTCATATATTCCCCTCTTTGCATCCATGCACAAAGTTCTTTGTCTCCACAGACTCCTAAGTGCACCACTCACCCTTTTCCCCTCATCAATTCACCTCATCCTTCATAGACCTATTTGCTGACACTCCACTCCTAAATATCTGAATACATTCACCTCCTCCATACTCTCTCCCTCCAATCTGATATCCAATCTTTCATCACCTAATCTTTTTGTTATCCTCATAACCTTACTCTTTCCTATATTCACTTAATTTTCTTCTTTTACATACCCTGCCAAATTCACCCACCAACCTCTTCAACTTCTCTTCAGAATCTCCAAAAAGCACAGTGTAATCAGCAAAGAGCAACTGTGACAACTCACACTTTGTGTTTGATTCTTTATATTTTAACTCCACACCTCTTGCCAAGACCCTAGCATTCACTTCTCTTACAACCCCATCTACAAATATACTGAACAACCACGGTGACATCACACATCTTTGTCTAAGGCCTACTTTTACTGGGAAATAATCTCCTTCTCTCCTACATACTCTAACATGAGCCCCCACATACCTCTTAAAAACTCATTTACTGCTTTCAGTAACCTACCTCCTATACCATGCACCTGCAACATCTGCCACACTGCCCCCCTATCCACCCTGTCATATGCCTTTTCCAAATCCATAAATGCCAAAAAAATATCTTTACCCTTATCTAAATACTGTTCACCTATATGTTCCACTGTAAACACCTGGTCTAAACACCCCCTACCTTTCCTAAAGCCTCCTTGTTCATCTGCTATCCTACTCTCCGTCTTTCTTAATTCTTTCAATAATAACTCTACCGTACACTTTACCAGGTATACTCAACAGACTTAGTCCCCTATAATTTTTGCACTCTCTTTTGTCCCCTTTGCCTTTATACTGAGGAATTATGCATGCTCTCTGCCAATTCCTAGGTACCTTACCCTCTTCCATACGTTTATTAAATAATAACACCAACCACTCCTGCTTTTAACATTTCTATCTTTATCCCATCAATCCCAGCTGCCTTACTCTGCTTCATTCTACCCAATGCCTCACAAACTTCCCCCACACTCACAACTGGCTCTTCCTCACTGCTACAAGATGTTATTCCTCCTTGCCCTATACACGAAATCACAGCTTCCTTATCTTCATGAACATTTAACAATTCCTCAAAATATTCCCTCCATCTTCCCGATACCTCTAACTCTCCATTTAATAACTCTCGTCTCCTATTTTTAACTGTCATATCCATTTGTTCCCTAGGCATCCTCAACTTATTAATCTCACTCCAAAACTTTTTCTTATTTTCAACAAAATTTGTTGATAGCATCTCACCCACTCTCTCATTTGCTCTCTTTTTACATTGCTTCACTACTCTTTTAACCTCTCTTTTTCTCTCCATATACTCTTCCCTTCTTGCATCACCATATCCACTACAAAGTATCAACAGAAACTCAATGAATTCCTTTATGTTATAAATCAGAATTTAAAAAGCACACCAATGTGTTAGAGTGAATGATTCATGACATATACCAGGTACCCCTCCACATAATTTTTTTTTCTCAACAAACCGGTCATATCCCACTGAGGCAGGGTGACCTAAAAAAAAAAAAAGTTTCTCTTTTTAAATTCAATAATATATACTGGAGAAGGGGTTACTAGCCCCTTTCTCCCATCATTTTAGTTGCCTTTTATGACATACATGGCGTATGAAGGAAGAATTCTGCTCCACTTCCCCACGGAGACAAAAATATATTGTAAACAAAAAAGTTATTATCTAAGTAGTAGGTTGGTAGACAGCAACCACCCAGGGAGGCACTACCATCCTTCCAAGTGAGTGTAAAACGAAAGCCTGTAATTGTTTTACATGATGGTAGGATTGTTTGTGTCTTTTTTCTATCTCATAAACATGCAAGATTTCAGGTATGTCTTGCTACTTCTATTTATACTTAGGTCACACTACACATGCATATACAAACATATATACAGTGGACCCCCGGTTAACGATTTTAATCCGTGCAAGAGGGCTCATCGTTATGCGAAATAATCGTTATGCGAATGAATTTTCCCCATAAGAAATAATGGAAATCAAATTAATCCGTGCAAGACGCCCAAAAGTATGAAAAAAATTTTTTTTTACCACATGAAATGTTAATTTTAATACACACAAACTGAAAAAGGCATGCACAATTAAATGACACTTACTTTTATTGAAGATCTGGTGATGATTGATGGGATGGGAGGAGGGGAGAGCATTATCTTCTTACTGTTTAGAAGGGGAATCCCCTTCCATTACGACTTGAGGTAGCAAGTCCTTTTCCGGGGTTACTTCCCTTCATTCTTTTAATGCCACTAGGACCAGCTTGAGAGTCACTGGACCTCTGTCGCACAACAAATCTGTCCATAGAGCTCTGTACCTCCCGTTCCTTTACGATTTGTCTAAAATGGGCCACAACATTGTCATTGAAATAGTCACCAGCACGGCTTGCAACAGCTGTGTCAGGGTGATTTTCATCTATAAAGGTTTGCAGTTCAACCCACTGTGCACACATTCCTTAATCTTTGAAGTAGGCACAATGGATTCCACAACTGGCATAGGCTTCTCAGGGTTAGCCCCAAACCCTTCAAAATCTTTCTTAATTTCCATACTAATTCTCACCCTTTTTACCACAGGGTTGGCACTAGAAGCTTTCTTGGGGCCCATGGTCACTTATTTTCCAGAAACAGCACCGAAAACACTGTAATAATACGAAATATTCCGAGTGTATGCTTGGATGTTACCGCGGAGGCTGGCTGGTAAACAATGGGACGGCCGGCACATGTGAGGCTGGCTGAGGGCACATTGGACGTGTCTCGGACGAAAATCGGTAAGCGGGTTTTTAATCAGTATGCGCGGCAAAAATTTTGCGATAAAAGTAATCGGTATGCGGAAAAATCGCTATGTGATGCCATCGTTATGCGGGGGTCCACTGTATAAACATACCCCTCTGGGTTTTCTTCTATTTTCTTACTAGCTCTTGTTCTTATTTATTTCCTATCTCCACGCGGATGTAGACCAGAATTCTTCCTCTGTAAGCCATGTGTATTGTAAGAGACTACTAAAATGCTGGGAGCAAGGGGCTAGTAACCCCTTCTTCTGTATACTTTACTAAAGATAAAAGAGAAACTATCAGGTAGTAGGTTGGTAGACAGCAACCACCCAGGGAGGTACTACCGTCCTGCCAAGTGAGTGTAAAACGAAAGCCTGTAATTGTTTTACATGATGGTAGGATTGCTGGTGTCTCTTGTCTGTCTCATAAATATGCAAGATTACAGGTACGTCTTGCTACTTCTACTTACACTTAGGTCACACTACACATACATGTACACGTTTATTTATACACACTCATCTGAGTTTTTTTTTATTTTTTCTTAATAGTTCTTGGTCTTATTACTTTTCCTTTTATATCCATGGGGAAGTGGAATAAGAATCTTTCCTCCGTAAGCCATGCGTGTTGTAAAAGTCAACTAAAATGCCGGGAACAATGGGCTAGTAACCCCTTTTCCTGTAAAGATTACTAAAAAGAATAAGAAGAAGAAAATTGTCAAAGTGGGAAGTCTGAATGTGCGTGAATGTTGTGCAAATGATAAGAAAGAGATGATTGTGGATGTTATGAATGAGAAGAAACTGGATGTCCTGGCTTTAAGTGAAACAAAGCTGAAGGGGGTGGGAAAGTTTCAATGGAGAGGAATAAATGGGATTAGGTCAGGGGTTTCAAATAGAGTTAGAGCTAAAGAAGGAGTAGCAATAATGTTGAAGGATAAGCTATGGCAGGAAAAGAGGGACTACAAATGTATAAATTCAAGGATTATGTGGAGTAAAATAAAGATTAGATGTGAAAAGTGGGTTATAGTAAGCGTGTATGCACCTGGAGAAGAGAGAAGTGTAGAGGAGAGAGAGAGATTCTGGGAAATGTTCAGTGAATGCGTGGGGAGTTTTGAATCAAGTGTGAGAGTAATGGTGGTTGGGGATTTCAATGCTAAAGTGGGTAAAAATGTTAAGGAGGGAGTAGTAGGTAAATTTTGGGGTGCCAGGGGTAAATGTAAATGGGAAGCCTTTAATTGAGCTATGTGTAGAAAGAAATTTGGCAATAAGTAATACATATTTTATGAAAAAGAGGATAAATAAAATATACAAGGTATGATGTGCATGTAATGAAAGTAGTTTGTTAATTATGTATTGGTGGATAAAAGGTTGAGGGGGTAGGCTCCAGGATGTACATGTTTATAGAGGGGCAACTGATTTCGGATCATTATTTAGTTGTAGCTACAGTTAGAGTAAGAGGTAGATGGGAAAAGAGGAAGGTGGCAACAACAAGTAAGAGAGAGGTGAAAGTGTATAAACAAAGGGGGAGAGGAAGTTCGGGCGAGATATAAGCGACTATTGGCAGAAAGGTGGGCTAGTGCAAAGATGAGTAGTGGGGGGGTTGAAGAGGGTTGGAATAGTTTTAAAAATGCAGTATTTAGAAGGGGGGAGAAGTTTGTGGTTATAGGAGGGTGGGGGCAGGAGGAAAGAGGAGTGTTGGTGGAATGATAAAGTAAAGGGGGGTGAAAAAGACAAAAAGGTAGCTTACGAGAGGTTTTTACAAAGCAGAAGTGTTATAAAAAGAGCAGAGTATATGGAGAGTAAAAGAAAGGTGAAGAGAAATGGTGAGAGAGTGCAAAAGGAGAAAAAGATGAAAGAGGGGGGAGAGGCATGTCAAAAATTTGGGAATGAAAATAAGAAAAATTTTTGGGGGTGATTAAACAAGTTAAGAAAGCCCAGGGAAAGTATGGATTTGTCAGTTAAAAACAGAGTAGGGGAGTTAGTAGATGGGGAGAGGGAGGGATTGGTAGATGGCGAGAATATTTTGAGGAACTTTTAAAAGTTGAGGAAGAAAGGGAGGCGGTAATTTCATGCACTGGCCAGGGAGGTATACCTCCTTTTAGGAGTGAAGAAGAGCAGAATGTAAGTGTGGTGGAGGTTTCGTGAGGCATTACATAGAATGAAAGGGGGTAAAGCAGCTGGAAATGATGGGATCATGACAGAATGTTAAAAGGGAGGGGGGGATATAGTGTTGGAGTGGTTGGTACTTTTGTTTAATAAATGTATGAAAGAGGGGAAGTACCTAGGGATTTGGGGGAGAGCATGTATAGTCCTTTATATAAAGGGAAAGGGGACAAAAGAGATTGTAAAAAATATTTGAGGAATAAGTTTACTGAGTATACCGGAAAGAAAAGTATACGGTAGAGTTATAAATGAAAGAATTAGAGGTAAGACAGAATGTAGAATTGCGGATGAGCAAGGAGGCTTCAGAGTGGGTAGGGGATGTGTAGATCAAGTGTTTACATTGAAGCATATATGTGAACAGTATTTAGATAAAGGTAGGGAAGTTTTTATTGCATTTATAGATTTAGAAAAGGCATATGATAGAGTGGATAAAAGGAGCAATGTGGCAGATGTTGCAAGTATATGGAATAGGTGGAAAGTTACTAAATGCTGTAAAGAGCTTTTATGAGGATAGTGAGGCTCAGGTTAGGGTGTGTAGAAGAGAGGGAGAATACTTCCCGGTAAAAGTAGGTCTTAGACAGGGATGTGTAATGTCACCATGGTTGTTTAATATATTTATAGATGGGGTTGTAAAAGAAGTAAATGCTAGGGTGTTCGGGAGAGGGGTGGGATTAAGTTATGGGGAATCAAATTCAAAATGGGAATTGACACAGCTACTTTTTGCTGATGATACTGTGCTTATGGGAGATTCTAAAGAAAAATTGCAAAGTTAGTGGATGAGTTTGAGAATGTGTGTAAAGGTCGAAAGTTGAAAAGTGAACATAGAAAAGAGTAAGGTGATGAGGGTATCAAATGATTTAGATAAAGAAAAATTGGATATCAAATTGGGGAGGAGGAGTATGGAAGAAGTGAATGTTTTCAGATACTTGGGAGTTGACGTGTCGGCAGATGGATTTATGAAGGATGAGGTTAATCATAGAATTGATGAGGGAAAAAAGGTGAGTGGTGCGTTGAGGTGTATGTGGAGTCAAAAAACGTTTTCTTTTGGAGGCAAAGAAGGGAATGTATGAAAGTATAGTAGTACCAACACTCTTATATGGATGTGAAGCTTGGGTGGTAAATGCAGCAGCGAGGAGATGGTTGGAGGCAGTGGAGATGTCCTGTCTAAGGGCAATGTGTGGTGTAAATATTATGCAAAAAATTCGGAGTGTGGAAATTAGGAGAAGGTGTGGAGTTAATAAAAGCATTAGTCAAGAGGCAGAAGAGGGGTTGTTGAGGTGGTTTGGTCATTTAGAGAGAATGGGTCAAAGTAGAATGACATGGAAAGCATATAAATCTATAGGGGAAGGAAAGAGGGGTAGGGGTCATCCTCGAAAGGGTTGGAAAGAGGGGGTAAAGGAGGTTTTGTGGGCGAGGGGCTTGGACTTCCAGCAAGCATGCATGAGCGTGTTAGATAGGAGTGAATGGAGACGAATGATACTTGGGACCTGACAATCTGTTGGAGTGTGAGCAGGGTAATATTTAGTGAAGGGATTCAGGGAAACCGGTTATTTTCATATAGTCGGACTTGAGTCCTGGAAATGGGAAGTACAATGCCTGCACTTTAAAGGAGGGGTTTGGGATATTGGCAGTTTGGAGGGATATGTAGTGTATCTTTATACATATATGCTTCTAAGCTGTTGTATTCTGAGCACCTCTGCAAAAGCAGTGATAATGTGTGAGTGTGGTGAAAGTGTTGAATGATGAAAGTATTTTCTTTTTGGGGATTTTCTTTCTTTTTTGGGTCACCCTGCCTCGGTGGGAGACGACTGACTTGTTGAAAAAAAAAAAAAAAAAAAAAAAAAAAAAAACTTTTGTTTATCTTTTTTGGGCCACCCTGCTTTGGTGGGATATGGCCGGTTTGTTGAAAGAAGAAAGAGTTATTAATTTCTTCCAATGAATTATTTAAAAATTTTGTCAAAATCACCAAGGAACTCTCCTTTTTTTTGTCCAGTGACAACAGCAGTGGCTTTATGCTTTATCTGCCTTAGTGATGTGAAGATTATTATCTTTCTTTAACCCTTAAACTGTCCAAACGTAGATCTACGTTTTTTCAACATTTGAAAGTACATGTATGTAAAAAAAAACAGATCTTCTTTTTGTTTTTTTACATATGAAAACGTGTAAAAAAAAACTTTGATCTACCTTTTTTTTTTTTTATATTTGAAAATATGTAAAAAATGTAGATCTACTTTTGGAGCACTACGCATGTGAACATAGATCTGTTTGGACAGTTTAAGGGTTAATTCACCATATTCCTTATTAGATCTCAGTGGGTAATTAAGAAGAAGTTTCATTAGTTAGTTACAGTGCCATCCATCCTTTTGCATATTGCATATTAACCCTTTGAGGGTCCGTCCCATAGATCTATGGCTTTACGTTCAGGGTCCAAACCGTAGATCTACGTCATGAGCTCAGCTCACTCTGATAAACTGTGAGTGGTACATTTGGGCCTAGATATGAGAGAATACATCTATGTGGTATGTGTGCACCACATAAAACAGATCCTGCAGCACACTGTGTATAATGAGAGAAAAAAACTAAAATCATGATTTTTCGATTAAAACAGCAACTTTGCAGTGTTTTTTCATATGTTTTTTATAGTTCTATTTGCGATTTATTGGTCTCATTTGATAGAATGGAAGACATATTACAGAAATAGAGATGATTTTGATTGGTTTTAGCACTGGAAATGGCTTGAAACTGAGCTCAAAGTAGCAGAAATGTTAAATTTTTGCCGATATTCAAGAGTAAACAAACGACCTCACACGTCTAATACACACCAGCTGGTGGGTCTAATATGCATTCACAAATATGGTGATGATATTTATACAATTATTACAGTATTGCATAACAGTAAATCTATTTTTTGGTGTGAATAAAAATTCATTATGTGAATAAAAAATCAAAATGGAATTTATTTGTAAAGCCTCAAAACATAACTAATGAACAGAGGAAATGTTAGTTTAGTTCCAGGAATACCTACATTGTTTATTCTGGACCCTATTTTGAAATTGGAATATTTTGAACTTTGTGTTAAATTGGCTAAATTAACAATTTCCGATCACTTTAATTTGTAGTTGAAACAGTTGACTTAGCGATTTCTTGTGCTCAATCGATAGAATAGAAGTAATACTAGTGAAATAGCTAAGAATTTGGTTGACTGGAATAATATAATTGGCCCAAAATGGGAGTCAAAGTCAGCAAAATCGCCGATTCGTAAACATCGCTGACACATCAAAATTCGCGAGAGCATAATTTCGTCAATTTTCCATCAAATTTCGTACTTTTTGTTTTATTACCTTCACAAAAAATTCTCTACCATTTCATAAGAAAAAATAACAAATTTTTTTTTTTGAAAATTCTTGGACACTGGGGCACCACTTCAGATTTGGGCCTTGGACCCTGAAGGGGTTAATATTATTATTTAGCAGGTCGTCGTTTCTCAAGATTGTATAGTACACTTATTGCCTTTCACAAGAATGTCTAATCATCTTAAAATTTGAGGTAAACTCATTAAGCATCAAATTCATACCATCTGTTGTCTTTCTGGGGGCAACATGGAGTATAGGGGTAAGACCCATAAAGACTGCTCTGGCTCTTCCTGTGCCCCAAACTTCTTGCTGCTTAGCACTGCATCATCATCGTCATCATCCAAATCCAAATCACTGTCGTCAAAATCCACTGCCCCTCGGTCCTCTAAGTCTGCTACATCTCCTGCCAGGTCACCCTCTGCATCATCAGGCAAGGCCGATATGAAACTGAAAAAAATTAATATGTAAATGTAATTTTCCTTTCCAAAAATGTCTGCATAAGTAATTACTCTGCTATGTTTTTAAACATTACCTAGTCATTTCCATCGTTAGATTATAATATGAATCACTGTAGTAAATATTACTTACCTCTATATTATTTATTCAAGCTAAGTTCTTGATGATGCTCACATCAACTCAAAGGAATAATTACTTTCTTGAGATATAATAGCAAAGAGAAAGTGAAAAAAAATTTTTACAGGCATACAGTGGACCCCTGAGTTTCGTGAGCCTCGCGCTTCGTGAATTTCGACTTCCAGAAACTTTTTTTTGTCAAAATATAACCTCGCGTTTTGTGATTTGCTTCGTGATTCATAGCAGGTATGGAACACATCCGAGCAGCCTCCCAGCAGCTGCGCGTACACAAAGGCTCCCACACACCAATCAGAGAGTCAGTGTGGCATTGTTTCTGGGCGAGTGACCATCACCCCATGCATTCATTTTCTAATAACCCATTCTTTTTTGTGCTTGCAACTCCTAAATAAGCCACCATGGGCCCAAAGAAAGTTTCTAGTGCCAGCCCTTTGGTAAAGAAGGTGAAAAACACGATAGAATTAAAGAAAAAGTTTATAGAAAAACACGAAAGTGGTGGTGGTAGTGATAGTGGCAGAGGGTGGTAGAGGATAGTAGTGATGGTAGTAGCAGTTGTGATGGTGGTAGAGGGCGGTAGTGGTAGTGATGGTGGAAGAGGGTGGTAGTGATGGTGGTAGAGGGTGGTAGTGATGGTGGTAGTGATGGTGGTAGAGTGGTAGTGATGGTGGTAGAGGGTGGAAGTGATGGTGGCAGAGGGTGGTAATGATGGTCGTAGAGGGTGGTAGTGATGGTGGTATGAGGGTGGTAGTGATGGTGGTTAGAGGGTGGTTGTACCTGGTGGTAGAGGGTGGTACGATGGTGGTAGGGGTGGTAGTGATGGTGGTAGAAAAGTGTAGTGATGGTGGTAGAGGGTGTAGTGATGGTGGTAGAGGGTGGTAGTGATGGTGGTAGAAGTTGGGAGTGATAGTGGTAGAAGGTGGTAGTGGTTGTGATGGTGGTAGAGGGTGGTAGCAGTTGTGACAGTGGTAGAGTGTGGTAGTGATGGTGGTAGAGGGTGGTAGTGACAGTGGTAGAAGGTGGTAGTGATGGTGGTAGAGGATGGTAGTGACAGTGGTAGTGATGGTGGTAGAGGGTGGTAGTGATTGTGGTAGAGGGTAGAGCTACAAGAGCTCTCTGGACAATTTTTTTTTTTTTTTTTGCGACAGGGGTCTAGTGACTCTCAAGCTGGTTCTACTGCCATTAAAAATCAAAGAAGGGAAGTAAACCCCGGATAAGAATTTGGTACCTAAAGTGTAACTTTTCCATCCTCTCCCTTCCTCCCGTCCTCCATACACAACAAGTCTTCAATAAAGGTAAGTGTGATGTTATTTTTGTTTTATACTTGATTTCTCATTCTTTCTGTATGTAAATCTATATTTAATCTATAAAAAAAATCATTTTTGTTAATACTTTTGGGTGTCTCGAACGGATTAATTGGAATTACATTATTTCTTATGGGGAAACTGGTTTCGTGAATTCCGACTTTCGGCAGACTCTCTGGAACGGACTAATCACGAAACTCGGGGGTCCACTGTATATTACAAGGATCTAATAAGAGAAAAGGTATCTGACATCTAATAAAGAAAAGATGAATGACAGTGTTGTGCACTTTGAGGAATAAGCCATAAACGCATAATAAAAATGGATATGATCAAGATACACTTGAGGTCATATAACTAGATCCTTCTTTTTTTTTTGTTGGAGTCAACCCCCAAACTTCTTAGGGGGTAAATAAAGCAGCAAAAAAAATATATACACACATTATAACAGTATACTCACTTTTCAAGCTTTACTTCAGGCAAAATGATCTTTTTGCTTGCTGATTCATTTACTGTTTTTTTCATATTTTTAAGTTGCAGTTTTTTCCTTTTGTATCCACTCACATCTGTTTGTTTGTTATATCTACTCTCTGCATGCATGGGGAATGTGGCACGTAACTTGCGCACAAGACTATTCACTTCCTGCTGACCTACAAAACACATAAATTATTAACATTATTTTCATTCATAAAATATCTGGTGCTAAAAACCATTTATAAACAGGATTCCTTCCCTATTACAATTTGTCATAACTTTCAAATCACAATACATCACAATTATACCATACTTGTGGCCTTCTCTCTCTCTCTTTGTCACCTAATCCTTAGTACCTTCTCTTCTTCCATACATATAGTGAACACACTAATCACTCCAACAATTTATCACCATCTGCTTTTAGCATTTTAGTCTTAATCTCCTCCACTTAAACTATTTTTCTCTACTTTCAACCTATTGTAACTGCTTCACTCACTTCCTTAATACTATCTTGAAACTCTTCACTCATATCAACAGTAAATTTTTTTGCATATTTTATATGGTAATCTACACTTTTTTTTTTTTTTTTTTTTTTTTAACAAGTCGGCCATCTCCCACCCAGGCAAGGTGACCCAAAAAGAAAGAAAATTCCCAAAAAGAAATAATACTTTCATCATCATTCAACACTTTCACCTCACTCATATATATACATAATCACTGTTTTTGCAGAGGTGCTCAGAATACTACAGTTTAGAAGCATATACTGTATGTATAAAGATACACAACATATCCCTCCAAAGGTTGGTAGACAGCAACTACCCAGGGAGGTACTACCGTCCTGCTAAGTGAGTGTAAAATGAGAGCCTGTAATTGTTTTACAAGATGGTAGGATTGCTGGTGTCTTTTGTTTGTCTCATAAACATGCAAGATTGCAGGTAGGTCACACTACACATACATGTACATGTTAATTTATATACACTCATCTGAGTTTTCTTTGATTTTACCTTAATAGTTCTTGTTCTTATTACTTTTCCTTTTATATCCATGGGGAAGTGGAATAAGAATCTTTCCTCCATAAGCCATGCGTGTTGTAAAAGTCAACTAAAATGCCATGAACAATGGGCTAGTTACTCCTTTTCCTGTATAGCCTACTAAAAAGAAAAAGAAAATTACTACATATAATATGCACTTAAAACGTTACCTTTATTTCTCTAACACTTTTACATACCTCCTGCACTAACATTTCACCACTCTAATTCTTAGATAAATCCATTTACTCACCATTTTTTCCTCACTTTATTAATTGAAACTGTGGAGTTAATAAAAGTATTAGTCAGAGGGCAGAAGAGGGGTTGTTGAGGTGGTTTGGTCATTTAGAGAGAATGGATCAAAGTAGAATGACATGGAAAGCATATAAATCTATAGGGGAAGGAAGGAGGGGTAGGGGTCATCCTCTAAAGGGTTGGAGAGAGGGGGTAAAGGAGGTTTTGTGGGCAAGGGGCTTGGATTTCCAGCAAGCGTGCGTGAGCGTGTTAGATAGGAGTGAATGGAGACGAATGGTACTTGGGACCTGACGATCTGTTGGAGTGTGAGCAGGGCAATATTTAGTGAAGGGATTCAGGGAAACCGGTTATTTTCATATAGTCGGACTTGAGTCCTGGAAATGGGAAGTACAATGCCTGCACTTTAAAGGAGGGGTTTGGGATATTGGCAGTTTGGAGGGATATGTTGTGTATCTTTATATGTGTATGCTTCTAAACTGTTGTATTCTGAGCACCTCTGCAAAAACAGTGATAATGTGTGAGTGTGGTGAAAGTGTTGAATGATGATGAAAATATTTTTTGGGGGTGATTTTCTTTCTTTTTTGGGTCACCCTGCCTTGGTGGGAGACGGCAGACTTGTTGAAAAAAAAAAAAAAAACTTATTCCATATTTTTGACAAAGCCTTATCTATTCTTTCAATTGCTCTTCTTTTGCACTCCTTCACTTGACTTCAAAACTTCTCTTTCCCATGAACCATAATCTATTGTAAATTTTAAATTTTAAATTAACTTTTTCTCCTTTACCATCATTTTCCCCGCATCCTTGTAACAGTAATTTATATACCCTCTTGTGCCTACTCTCCTACAATTACAAACCTCTGCTGCTGCAAACACCAAAAATACATTCTTAAAACTGCACAACACCATTTTTTTTATATCTTTACCACTTGTTTCTCTCACTAACCAACCTTTCATTTAACTGTTCCTACCTCTCACTAACAATCTTGGTTTTATTTAACCAACAGTTTCCTTTCTTCCTCTATTCTACCTTCCTCTCACTGTCTACCACTTAGTAGTTATCAGACATACTTGTTACTTCTCTATAACATGTACATTACATACAAAGGCCTACACTTCAGTCATTTATTCACCAGCACAGTCCAACAGACAGCTCTCATTTTGCACCTCACAGCTAATTAACAATTATCACTCATGTAAAAATGTATGCCAATGTAGTGAAAATTTGTAATGAATGAATGTAACAATTCACTACTCTGATCAAAGTTCAAACCTGCAGTCTGGAAGTTGGTCCAAGAATTAAAATCCTAGAATATACTGATAATTAGTTCAGCCTTCAACAGTACCTGTGAGGAAGATCAGAATGCCTCCCTCGGGAAGTTGTCGATGAATCTTACATGCCTTCTTGAATGCTTCTCCCAGGTAATCCTCAGGAGTTCGCTTGTTGTAGTGAAGAGTGACGTCAAACATTCTTGCATCAACCTGAAATTATAGGGCAAAGATTTTCAGTGTGTGATACAATTACAGTGGAACCTCAGTATACGACCAGCCCCCTACTTGAACAAAGCTCAGCACTCGACCAAACAAATACAACCTGACAGAACTTCACTGTAAACTATTTTGTGTTTCTTCGCATTTTTTGGTGTTTTTTTTTTTTGCATTATTTGTATAAATAAGTCACCCTGGGGCCTACAAAGATTAGTGATAACAGCCAACCAAACAGAAAATTGGTTGGGAAGAGCTTGTACGACACTCAAATGGAGCAGCACTCGAACAGTCTTCTGGAATGGATTAAGGTCACATACCGAGGCTCCACTGTACATTCATATCTCATATACTACTTTAAAACCTCTGTAAATTTTATATATCATCATACAAGTTTTTGTTAACAACAGCCATACATATGAAGGACTGCATGTTGAACATTGTAGGATAATTCCCACTTTCGTGGGATTTCGAGGCAGTCATCATGAGAAATTTGAAAAATACTGTACAACAAAAAATGTAGGGTTAGAAATAACTAGTTACACTCAAAATCAACGTATTTGCTCTTTTGAGAGAAGGCACCATGATGCTCATCCCTAATAATAAAACTAATATGCATGTTCCAAATTATGTTACTAACAGGTATATGAGTGAGTGAGCATAATAATCGCAAATTTTTCATTAAAAAGAATCTTTAAACAAGGCAGAATTGCTAAATTCCATGCATCAGTTCCCACATACACAAGTATATTGTATCTAAAAAGGTGGGCCATGAGCAGGATACTTGAAATGACTGGTGGGTTGTTTAATACATGTACTTGGTTGAGCAACACTACACTAATGTATTTCAAATGATTCTTAGATTTCATGCTGACATAAAAGTACCTTAATAACTGGAGGTTTGGGCTCCTTAAAGAGTCGAGGATTCTCAGTAAAGTCTTCAACCCTCAGTGTGGCTGACATAATGATGAGCTTTAGTGGCTTGCCCTTGGCCTGACGTCTAGGAATGATCCGTGAGAGAATGCCAATCAAAATGTCAGAAAAGACACTTCGCTCGTGGGCTTCATCAATGACTACCACTGAGTATTTCTTCAGTGTCGGATCCTGTTTGAAAAGTTTAAAAAACGCTAAGAGGATGTTGCTTTCGACATGCTAACAGAGTAATTATGATTATTAAACCAATATTGTTGTCAGAACATACATGGCATTTCATCCCTCCTTCTTGTGTAAGTCATAACTTCTGCTTGTGTTTCTAAACTTCATGCAATTACAAATTATTGAAACCATTTAAAGCATACACAGATAAACAGTTAGATCAACAGGAGATTAACATTTATTAGATACAGAGGCTTTAATGAAAGCTCAAATATTTTAACACATCAGAACATCAGTGCTATATATTCCGTGTCTTTGAATTAAGTACAGCCTCTCCTCACTTAGCAACATACTCGTTTACCAACCCCTTGGACTTACGATGGCCCCTCTGACCAGTATGCATACCTATGTAATGTATAACAGAGCTGATTTCCTCTATTCTGTTTATTACAATGTACAGTACACTGCTGTGTAGACATTTAAAAATACACCAGAAATGTTATAAATGGTACAAAGATGACATTAAAACAATAACAAAGATGGATGACACAGATTCACTATCATTATGGTATGCTCCTCACTTAGTGACGAATTTGTTTACCGACATGGTCTTAGGAACATAACTCCATCGTTAAGTGAGGAGAGGCTGTATATTAAAAATAGTGATGGCAGGAATGATACAAACAAAAATACAGAAGGGAAATGTTCAAACATATAGGACAGAACATAATAATCATCCTTCTTTGGTGGTAAATGGCTAATGTGATAATTTCTTTTATTTTACTGTTCTGCACATCCATATGTGCATTATTTTCTAAGGAGTTTCTACCAATAATTATCCTTCCTTGGTGGTAAATGGCTGTGGTAATTTCTGATAACCCAAAATAACACATTCAGTATCATTCATTCAATAGCAGTCCTGCCAGAAGTGTGCAGACATCAAAATTAAAAATGACCTTCCCAACTGCAACATCCCCACCTATCCTTTAGAATACAGCCACTATACACACTTTCCACCTCTCACTTAAATATTTTGAGAAAATGCTTAATGCATAAATAACTATGGCTTACCATTTGGATTTCCTTCAGCAAAACACCATCTGTCATAAATTTGATCTTTGTATCTGGAGTTGTATTCCCTTCAAACCGTATTTGGTAAGACACCTCTCTTGATGACAGATTCATTTCATGTGCAACTCTCTGAGACATTGATATTGCAGCCACACGCCTTGGCTCAGTGACACCGATCATCTTGCCATTACTAAAAGTCAAAATTAAATAACTTTAATGCATTTAATGCTACTCATCTGCATACAAAAAGAGAACACACAGACAACTCTTCTTTCAACAAACCGGCCATATCCCACCGAAGCAGGGTGACCCAAAAAGAAAAACAAAAGTTTATTTTTTTAACTTTAGTAATGTATACAGAAGAGGTTACTAGCCCTTTGCTCCCAGCATTTTAGTCGCCTCTTACGACATGCATGGTTTACAGAGGAAGAATTCTGTTCCACTTCCCCATGGAGAACACAGACAACTATTAATATAAAAAACAAAAAAATTCTGAAGATCAAGGATATGCAGTGAAGGTACTGAGTAAAATCTGTAACGAAAATAATGAGAATGAAATTACTTCAGAATATGAAATCGTAGCAGAAATAGGTCCTCTGTGAATAAATTTTATAAAAGTGTTAGATAGGATAGAATGGAGACAAGTGATTTTTAATGGAAATGCTGTTGAAGTTGAGAAAGGTAATTTTATGAAGAGATTCAGGAAAACCAGTTAGCTGGACTCGAGTCCTGAAGGTGGGAAAGGCAGTACCGCAGTGCCTGCACTGGGAAGGAGGGATGGGGATGTTACAGTCAAAGGGTAATCTGATGGGAATGTTAGCTGAGGTGTAATCTGACTGTGATGTCAGCCCATATCTAGAAAAAGACACCAATTGCATGAATGATGGTGAGCGTTTTTTTCTTTGGGTTACCCTGCCTTTTAACAGGAAATGACCAAGTTAGAGGAAAAAAAATTAGATCTAAAGTTTCAAAATAATTAGCTAGTTAGGCATACCATGGGAAGAGATTAGTGCATAATAGATAGGGACAATTGTTAGGCAGCAAGAAACCACACAGAATGGAAATTCTGAGTGAAAATTCTGCAACTCTACCCAAAGATGAAAATATGAATATTCTGCAAAATACAGTAAGTTACATATAACACTGATGGATCTGGAAGTGTATATTAATGACTGCATACTTCTAACAAGTTCAATTAACTTACAGGATAGAAAAAATTGCTTATACATTAATTTCAACAGGAGTAAAAAACATGTAATGGTGGATAGGTGATACAACACTTCTTCAACAGGTGTCTCAGCATAAACAAATACATTATCAACCATTTTCAAATGAAAACAATAAATCAAAAGTATTTACAGAAATACTTTGGACTAACCCTTTTTACCAACCTTGTATATCCTGCCTCATACAGAAACTGGGGAACTTGTGTTGTCTTGCCACTACCTGTTGCTCCCACAATGACTGTTACAGGATTTTCGTTTATTGCTTCCATTATAGCTTGTTCCTCAGCTAGAATGGGAAGTCTGAGTCTTGCTGCTTGAATCTCAGTAGTACGTTGTAAGCTCATATATACTGCTGGCTTTGTTGGTTTATCCTTGGAGACCTCAGCAGTCTGTGCTTCATCTTGTTGCTTTTCTGCTGGCTTAATGTCATTCAAATCACCTATTTCCTGATTAGAGCATTTTTTATGTTGTTGAATATCATTTACTATTCCTCCTACAGAATTAGTCATATCTGGTTCCTCTTCTTCCACTTCACTCTCATCACTACTGCTGGATAATTCCTGTAAAATTCATTTAATTAACATATACATGTATATACAATATGGATTTAGAAAAGGCATATGATAGAGTGGATAGAGGAACAATGTGGCAGATGTTGCAAGTACAGTGGACCCCCGGTTAACGATATTTTTTCACTCCAGAAGTATGTTCAGGTGCCAGTACTGACCGAATTTGTTCCCATAAGGAATATTGTGAAGTACATTAGTCCATTTCAGACCCCCAAACATACACGTACAAACGCACTTACATAAATACACTTACATAATTGGTCGCATTCGGAGGTAATCGTTATGCGGGGGTCCACTGTATATGGAATAGGTGGTAAGTTATTAAATGCTATAAAGAGTTTTTATGAGGATAGTGAGGCTCAGGTTAGGGTGTGTAGAAGAGAGGGAGACTACTTCCCAATAAAAGTAGGTCTTAGACAGGGATTTGTAATGTCACCATGGTTGTTTAATATATTTATAGATGGGGTTGTAAAGGAAGTAAATGCTAGGGTGTTCGGGAGAGAGGTGGGATTAAATTTTGGGGAATCAAATTCAAAATGGGAATTGACACAGTTACTTTTTGCTGATGATACTGTGCTTATGAGAGATTCTAAAGAAAAATTGCAAAGGTTAGTGGATGAGTTTGGGAATGTGTGTAAAGGTAGAAAGTTGAAAGTGAACATAGAAAAGAGTAAGGTGATGAGGGTATCAAATGATTTAGATAAAGAAAAATTGGATATCAAATTGGGGAGGAGGAGTATGGAAGAAGTGAATGTTTTCAGATACATGTACTTGGGAGTTGACGTGTCAGCGGATGGATTTATGAAGGATGAGGTTAATCATAGAGTTGATGAGGAAAAAAAGGTGAGTGGTGCGTTGAGGTATATGTGGAGTCAAAAAACGTTATCTATGGAGGCAAAGAAGGGATTGTATGAAAGTATAGTAGTACCAACACTCTTATATGGGTGTGAAGCTTGGGTGGTAAATGCAGCAGCGAGGAGATGGTTGGAGGCAGTGGAAATGTCCTGTTTAAGGGCAATGTGTGGTGTAAATATTATGCAGAAAATTCGGAGTGTGGAAATTAGGAAAAGGTGTGGAGTTAATAAAAGTATTAGTCAGAGGGCAGAAGAGGGGTTGTTGAGGTGGTTTGGTCATTTAGAGAGAATGGATCAAAGTAGAATGACATGGAAAGCACATAAATCTGTAGGGGAAGGAAGGTGGGGTAGGGGTCGTCCTCGAAAGGGTTGGAGAGAGGGGGTAAAGGAGGTTTTGTGGGCAAGGGGCTTGGACTTCCAGCAAGCATGCGTGAGCGTGTTAGATAGGAGTGAATGGAGACGAACGGTACTTGGGACCTGACGATCTGTTGGAGAGTGAGCAGGGTAATATTTAGTGAAGGGATTCAGGGAAACGGTTATTTTCATATATATATATATATATAATATATATATATATATATAATATATATATATATTATTATTATTATCACACTGGCCGATTCCCACCAAGGCAGGTGGCCCAAAAAGAAAAACTTTCACCATCATTCACTCCATCACTGGTCTTGCCAGAAGGGTGCTTTACACTACAGTTTTTTAAACTGCAACATTAAACACCCCTCCTTCAGAGTGCAGGCACTGTACTTCCCATCTCCAGGACTCAAGTCCGGCCTGCCGGTTTCCCTGAACCCTTTCATAAATGTTACTTTTGCTCACACTCCAACAGCACGTCAAGTATTAAAAACCATTTGTCTCCATTCACTCCTATCAAACACGCTCACGCATGCCTGCTGGAAGTCCAAGCCCCTCGAACACAAAACCTCCTTTAACCCCTCTCTCTCCAACCTTTCCTAGGCCGACCCCTACCCCGCCTTCCTTCCACTACAGACTGATACACTCTTGAAGTCATTCTGTTTCGCTCCATTCTCTCTACATGTCCGAACCACCTCAACAACCTTCCTCAGCCCTCTGGACAACAGTTTTTTGGGAATCCCGCACCTCCCCCTAACTTCCAAACTACGAATTCTCTGCATTATATTCACACCACACATTGCCCTCAGACATGACATCTCCACTGCCTCCAGCCTTCTCCTCGCTGCAACATTCATCACCCATGCTTCACACCCATATAAGAGCGTTGGGAAAACTATACTCTCATACATTCCCCTCTTTGCCTCCAAGGACAAAGTTCTTTGTCTCCACAGACTCCTAAGTGCACCACTCACTCTTTTCCCCTCATCAATTCTATGATTCACATCATCTTTCATAGACCCATCCGCTGACACGTCCACTCCCAAAATCTGAATACATTCACCTCCTCCAATACTCTCTCCCTCCAATCTGATATTCAATCTTTCATCACCCCAATCTTTTTGTTATCCTCATAACCTTACTCTTTCCTGCATTCACCTTTTAAATTTTTTTCTTTTTGCACACCCTAAAACCCAAAATTTATCCCCATCCTCTTGCAACTTCTCTTCAGAATCTCCCAAGAGCACAGTGTCATCAGCAAACAGCAGCTGTGACAACTCCCACTTTGTGTGTGATTCTTTATCTTTAAACCACACCTCTTGGCCAAACCCTCGCATTTACTTTCTTACCCCATCTATAAATATATTAAACAACCACGGTGACATCACCATCCTTTTCTAAGGCCTACTTTTAAATGGGAAAAAATTTCCCTCTTTCCTACATACTCTAACTTGAGCCTCACTATCCTCGTAAAAACTCTTCACTGCTTTCAGTAACCTACCTCCTACACCATACACTTGCAACATCTGCCACATTGCCCCCCTATCCACCCTGTCATACCCCTTTTCCAAATCCATAAATGCCACAAAGACCTCTTTAGCCTTATCTAAATACTGTTCACTTATATGTTTCACTGTAAACACCTGGTCCACACACCCCCTACCTTTCCTAAAGCCTCCTTGTTCATCTGCTATCCTATTCTCCGTCTTACTTTTAATTCTTTCAATAATAACTCTACCATACACTTTACCAGGTATACTCAGCAGACTTATCCCCCTATAATTTTTGCACTCTCTTTTATCCCCTTTGCCTTTATACAAAGGAACTATGCATGCTCTCTGCCAATCCCTAGGTTTACCTGGAGTTTACCTGGAGAGAGTTCCGGGGGTCAACGCCCCCGCGGCCCAGTCTGTGACCAGGCCTCCTGGTGGATCAGAGCCTGATCAACCAGGCTGTTGCTGCTGGCTGCACGCAAACCAACGTACGAGCCACAGCCCGGCTGATCAGGAACTGACTTTAGGTGCTTGTCCAGTGCCAGCTTGAAGACTGCCAGGGGTCTGTTGGTAATCCCCCTTATGTGTGCTGGGAGGCAGTTGAACAGTCTCGGGCCCCTGACACTTATTGTATGGTCTCTTAACGTGCTAGTGACACCCCTGCTTTTCATTGGGGGATGGTGCATCGTCTGCCAAGTCTTTTGCTTTCGTAGTGAGTGATTTTCGTGTGCAAGTTCGGTACTAGTCCCTCTAGGATTTTCCAGGTGTATATAATCATGTATCTCTCCCTCCTGCGTTCCAGGGAATACAGGTTTAGGAACCTCAAGCGCTCCCAATAATTGAGGTGTTTTATCTCCGTTATGCGCGCCGTGAAAGTTCTCTGTACATTTTCTAGGTCGGCAATTTCACCTGCCTTGAAAGGTGCTGTTAGTGTGCAGCAATATTCCAGCCTAGATAGAACAAGTGACCTGAAGAGTGTCATCATGGGCTTGGCCTCCCTAGTTTTGAAGGTTCTCATTATCCAAACCTGTCATTTTTCTAGCAGATACGATTGATACAATGTTATGGTCCTTGAAGGTGAGATCCTCCGACATGGTCACTCCCAGGTCTTTGATGTTGGTGTTTCGCTCTATTTTGTGGCCAGAATTTGTTTTGTACTCTGATGAAGATTTAATTTCCTCATGATTACCATATCTGAGTAATTGAAATTTCTCATCGTTGAACTTCATATTGTTTTCTGCAGCCCACTGAAAGATTTGGTTGATGTCCGCCTGGAGCTTTGCAGTGTCTGCAATGGAAGACACTGTCATGCAGATTCGGGTGTCATCTGCAAAGGAAGACACGGTGCTGTGGCTGACATCCTTGTCTATGTCGGATATGAGGATGAGGAACAAGATGGGAGCGAGTACTGTGCCTTTTGGAACAGAGCTTTTCACCGTAGCTGCCTCGGACTTTACTCTGTTGACGACTACTCTCTGTGTTCTGTTAGTGAGGAAATTATAGATCCATCGACCGACTTTTCCTGTTATTCCTTTAGCACGCATTTTGTGCGCTATTACGCCATGGTCACACTTGTCGAAGGCTTTTGCAAAGTCTTATATATTACATCTGCATTCATTTTGTCTTCTAGTGCATTTAGGACTTGTCGTAGTGATCCAATAGCTGAGACAGACAGGGGCGACCTTACCCTCTTCCATACATTTATTAAATAATTGCACCAACCACTCCAAAACTATATCCCCACCTGATTTTTTAAACATTTCTATCTTTTAAACCCATCAATCCCGGCTGCCTTACCCCTTTCATTTTACCTACTGCCTCACGAACTTCCCACACTCACAACTGGGTCTTTCCCCACTCCTACAAGATGTTATTCCCCCTTGTCCTATACACGAAATCACAGCTTCCCTATCTTCATAACATTTAACAATTCCTCAAAATATTCCCTCCATCTTCCAATTTCCCCTAACTCTCCATTTAATAACTCCCCCTCTCCTATTTTTAACTGACAAATCCATTTGTTCTCTAGGCTTTCTTAACTTGTTAATCTCACTCCAAAACTTTTTCTTTTTTCAACAAATTTGTTGATAACATCTCACTCCACTCTCTATTTGCTCTCTTTTTACATTCCTTCACCACTCTCTTAACCTCTCTCTTTTTCTCATATACTCTTCCCTCCTTGCATCACTTCTACTTTGTAAAACTTCTCATATGCTAACTTTTTCTCCCTTACTACTCTCTTTACATCATCATTCCACCAATCGCTCCTCTTCCC